TTACCCAGCACCTAAACCCAACTTCTTTAGTTATATTTCTGGAAAATAAAATATGGGCTTTGGACAATCTCACAAAACTACCATAAATTACCAAGATGTCTGGGAAATTGATCTTTCAGGCTGGAATTCTTGCTCACCTTCTGCTTTACAAACTATCAAGCCGTGGTAGTTTAATATGACTTGGGTGTCTAAGTCAATATCTCTTGCTTGTTAGGGCATGTTCCTGAAGAGCTTAAGAGGCAAAGGATGAAATGGCCAATTTATTTTCTTGAAGTCCCTTTATATGATAGCCCAGATACCCCACATTTGTTAGCATAGCCATAGAATGCCTTATTTTTTTAGTTCTATATCATTTAGTGCATGTGAAGGTTTGAACTTAGTATTCAGACGCCTTTTAAATTAAAAACACCTGCTAGTAGGTATATTAAGGAACTTTGAGAAATTCAGATTAGTAGTAAGTCTTTAAACACTACAGTAGTATGTAGAATCATAGAAATGTAGGGCTGGAAGAGAGCTCGAGAGGTCATCTAATCCAGTGTTTCTCAACCTTTTTGATACCAGGGACCAGCTTGATGCCTTCCTAAACTGTATCAGGGAGATAGATCTCAGAGACCAGTGTCAGTCCACTGACGGGTCATTGTGAAACACTGATCTAATCCATTCCCCTGTGCTGAGGCAGGACTAAGTATACCTAAACCATCCCTGACAGGCGTTTGTCCAACCTACATTTAAAAACCTCCAGTGACGGGGATTCCACAATCTCGCTTGCTAACCTGTTCCAGTAATTAAGTATCTTTATTGTTAGAAAGACTTTCTAAATCTCCCTTGCTGCAGATTAAGCTGATTACTTCTTATCCTACCTTCAGTGCATAGAAAACTCTTGATTACTGTCTTTATACATATTTGAAAACTATCGGGTCCCCCCATTGTCTTTCCTCAAGACTAAGCATGCCCAGTCTTTTTAACCTTTTCTCATAGAACGTGTTTTCTAAACCTTTTGTCATTTTTGTTGCTCTCCTCTGGACTCTCTCCAATTTGTCAACATCTTTCTTAATATGTGGCACCCAAAACTGGACACATTGCTTTATCTGAGGCCACTTCGGTGTCTTAATATGACAATTCTATTAAATACACCCTATAATACTAGCTTTTTTTCCACCACTGCATCCATTGTTGGAATGTATTCAGTTTGTATTCCCCGTTAACTCACAGATCTTTTTCAGCGGTACAACTGCCTTGCCAGTTATTCCCCATGTTGTATTTGGGCATTTTTTTCCCTTCCTAAGTGTAGTACTTTTCACTTGTCTTTATTGACTTTATCTTGTTGATTTCAGACCAATTTTCCAATTTGTCAAGGTCGTTTTGAATTCTAATCCTGCCTTCCAAAGTGCATGCGACCCATTCCAGCTTGGTGTTCTCTCCAGATTTTTATAAGCATGCTCTCCATACCATTATTCAAATAATTAATGAAAATATTTAGCACCTGATCCAGGGCAGACCTCCGCGGGACCTCACTAGATACATCCTTCCAGTTTGACAGCACACCATTGATAACTGCTCTTTGAGTAGGGTTTTTCAACCAGTTGTGCACCCACTTAATCGTAATTTCATCTAGACCACATTTCCCTAGTTTGCTTAAATGCTCTTTCAGTAAAATATTACAGTATGTAACCTGCACTGTAGCTCTTGCTCTTTCTTGAATGTTTCAGTGAAAATTTGGTTTTGATTTTGCCAAACTATAAGTCTTTAAAAATTGCTCTCCGCTCATCTACAGTAAACCCAACTGCACCAGGGATAATTCTAATGAAATAGGTTATGGAGTGTAATTGGCATGCACTGTGTATTTATGGATGGTAACAGCTATATATGTACGCAGTGTTTACTAGAAGCTTGTCATGAATGAGCATGTTGTATGATATGTACATGGGACCTAGCCTCTTTCAAAGCTTAATTTAATGTGCACCTTTAGGAGATGTCTCTTTATGTGAATACATTATGGTGAAGTTTAATTGATCATATGCTGTTTCTCAAATCATACATCATACCCTATGACTTTTTATCTACAGCCTTGTAAAAAATTTTTCTCTGAATAATGAATAGTGAATGAAGCAAGGGCTCCAGAGAAGCCTCACTTCATCTAATGTCTCTTGTGTTTGTGTAATCACTTTGCAATCCACAGAGTAGTACAAGATGCTACAATGGTTGTAAGAAAAAGTTGTAAGAAAAAAATATTTGGTACTAGAAAAATACAGCATGGTTGTGTAATTCAAGACATTGTAATGTGTCCATAGAGAGGGTTAAAGTTGCGCTTGCAGCCTTAACTCTAGCATTTCTTGATTCTTGAATGCTTAGCTGTGAATCCTTAATGCTCTCATAGTACATTGTTGTTAGTATACATTTATAAATTAGCATATCTCAGGACCACTTTCTGGAAACGAGCTCTCTTTTCTTTGAAAAGTCTCAGTTCTGCTCATAGTTGGAAGTGAATATTTTAAATGCTTTTATGTGCTGCAGACCCCTAGTATGTGAGAGGCAATGATTTGGAAGAAAGGGAGCTGGTTATAGATAAGGCTAAAGTAGTGCTTGTTGGCAGGGGGGAAGCATTTAGAGAAATAATATGCCATCTATTGAGGGTGGAGACACTCCATGTCTTTCCATCAAAATGGTTCATAGCCACAGGATCCTCCTGAGTTCATTATTGCTCTGAGACTAGCAGAAGTAGCCATTGTTGCCCTTCACCATGTGCAGCTGGGAAGGAGATTATAAGGTCCACATGGTGACTATAGCAATGGTCATCTATGCATTTGTCATTTCCATTTTATCCTAATCAGAACTCATTAAAATAGTTTTACTCTTGAAATTATATTTGGAAGTGCCAGCTGGTACAGACTACAGCTTCCCCTTTTTGAAGAGAAATGTGTGGCTTTGAAAAAGATACCTGGCTTTTTTATTTGCTGCTTACTGACAGACTGCTTGCTTGTCTTAAACCCAGTTTTAAACATAAAATTAGTTGTGAGATTCCTGTAGTTAGTATTTAAATTTGAGCACTTTGTGACCAGCAGCAGGGCTTCATCATTTGAGGGGCCCAGTCTTTGGCATTTGTTAGTGGTATCCCATCAGAGCTAGTCTTTTGACTTTCAGGGCGTGATGCAAGGTGCATTTATTTTATTTATCATTTGACTGTTGATTTTGCCAGTGACACATCTAATTTGTGTTAATATTTGTAATGGAAGTGCCTAGATAACATAAGTACCCTGGAAATTGGTACGTGTGGTTCCAACTTCAGGAAGGGCAGTGTACCTAACAGCTTCAGACTTCTGCATCGAGCTAGCTACTCCTTTCTGAATATTCACCCATTTCATAAGCTACAATATAGGTGCTTTGAGTTTGTTGAAGCAGTTTGACTTAAGACTTGAATTTCCTCCTTTGTTTAACAGACCAGTAGGGGACATTTTAGCGCAGATTCTTGGAGATTTTTTATGAATGTAAACATGGAATTTGCAAGGCTTACCTTTGTCTAGTAGAGGTTTATCTTAAGTACCTCGTATACTTAAATTTACAAGAAGATCTGAAACTTAGGTCCGTGTAACCAAATATCACTTCAACTAATGTCAGAAGAAAGCTGGCAAACCATGTGTAGTTTCTGCTTCATTGGGCCTATGTAGGGTGTTCATCTGTCAACATAGTAAAATGATGCGTGTAGTGTTATAAATTGTAAACACTGAATTGCTATCAAATAATAATATGCAGAAAAGTGAAACACTAGTAAAATGTTTCTTTATTTCCCATGGTTTTTTATAGGTTCCATCTAATAGATGTTTCAGCAATATGTTGCTGCTTTCTTTAACATGAGAAGTAACTTTAACCTTCTTACATTTGGTTCAGAGAGAGAATTCCAGAGATTTAGATTAACTTTTTAAAAAAGCTTTTTAAAAAAATTCTTCTTGGCTAATCAAACAATTTAACAGCATAATCCACAAAGGGCGCCTAGTTATATAAGGTGAGGGATATTGTTTAGACATACATTGTAGTAATTTTTTACTTTTGTTAAACATTGTTTTCCTCTTTTAAACAAAACTGTTAATTTCAGCCCTCTTTAGTATGAGGGCTATTTGGGGGATCTCTCAATAGCGAATACTGACATCTTTCAATTATACCAGCAGGGGTTGCTATAGTTTCCTGTTCTGAGAATATTTCATTGGATCACTAGCAGCTGGCCTAAAATTCTGCTGTTATAATTTCCTATTTTAATTAAACCTTCCCATAATTAGGGGTCATTTCACATATTTTAAATGAAATTTATGTTAAAATAAAATTGAGTTGTAAATGAATGGGCAGCATTAAATATTTTCTGTAGTTCAGAAACTAGATACTGCGGTACTATAGAAATGCACAAAATATGTTCTTCCAGCATTCACTCAGATTGAGAATAGTTCAGTGATTTTGAGTTCAGATGGAATTTTAACAAATTTTAAAATAAACTCTAAAATATTGGATTGAGTTCTCTCTGGTTCTTGAACATCCATGTTTATACTGCAAAGGTGTTTGTTCTCATTAGGTACAATGAAGCAAATCTTCCATATAATTGCATTAGTGATACGTGACATTAAAGCTTAATTGGCTTATTTAAAATATCTTGCACATCAATTTCTTTTAGATTGTGAAAATTGAAAAGGTCATGAGTGCAGTTTAATATTCCTGGGTGAGAGATTTCAATTTTAGTACAATTTGTAGAGAATTAATTAGGAAACATGACTAAAAGAAAAAGGGTGTTGAATGCAAATAAGGTTGTTACCTCAACTTCTGTACTCTAATGAACATGTATCATGGACTGTTGTGGAAATCCCTTTGGAAGTTCTGCAAGCACCCAGATTGGTTTTAAAAAGTAAAAATGATATCTGCTGTTTTATAGCTGGAAATAATTTAGTTGCCATGCAAAGTTTTTAAAATAAAATGAGTCTTTTCATGACTTTTTATTTTTGCCAACTTTTGCTTTGTAGGAGATTGATGAAGCCTGTAAGAGGATAAAGCGTGAAATTGATGATTTGGGTCCTGAAGTGGGTGACATCAAAATCATTCCATTATATTCCACGCTTCCCCCACAGCAACAACAGAGGATTTTTGAACCACCGCCTCCTAAAAAACCAAGTGGAGCAATAGGAAGAAAGGTAATAGTATCAGAAAATGTTTGTACCTTAGTGTGCTGTTTACTATCAAACTGGTTATAGTAGTAGGGGGGGATTAAATATAGTGCGTTTCCGTTGTTAATCTTAAATGTATTCAGACAGCAACAAATAGAAAGCTAGGTCTCAACTCTTATTTTGAAGCAGTCTTGAGCAATGTAATCAAATGTTTCTTAGGTTAAGGACTTACAGGGATGCTGTCAAATTAAATATTACATTTGCTTTGATATGCACTGGCTTTCAGTTTATTTCCGGGTGCAGTTCAAGGCACAGACTTCCACCTACAAAGCCCTGAATTGTTGAATGTTAAAGCTCTGAATCAGATGGGACCTGGCTATCAGAAAATGCTTTGCTCACGTAATACCGTGATAATTCAAATCAGCTGAAACAGGGTCTGACAAAATCCTTATTTTAAATGCTGTGGGTGGCCAGTTAATGGATCTTGAATGTGGAATTCGTTCTCAGAAGATCTGTTGATCTTCAAGGGATGCTGCTGTAAGGCAAGGTCTCTTGATTTTTATTTTTTCTAGTCTTTTAAGAATTCGATGGGTTACGATAAACAGTCAAATAATAATAATGGAAGTCAGCAGCTGTTTTTTCCTTCTCTGGGAAATACCCTGAATTGAGATCCCCTTTCCTTGATTATACCAACGCCTTTGGCCTATTGGGGTTACCATAAAACTGAAAAATTACATGTTACGACCTGAGATTGGAAGTTTTGGTGCATCTGGGTATAATTGACAATAGAAGTCACTTAATTTTCCACATAGATTAAAAAAAACTAAGGTCACCTAAATATTGGACCCTACACTGGGTATGTTAAATTGTAACATTCATAAAGTTGAACAGAAGATTTTGAAGGTCAAAGCTGAATCATTGTATGTGCTCTAGGCAGGGTTTGTTCCTTGATTATTGCCTTTTCAGTGCAGTACAGTGCATGTAGAATACTAGTGACAACTTCTTGTGCTCTGGATGAATAAATCACTTGTGCAAGGCAGCTTCAGATTTAAGATGAAGATGTCTGCTTATTTAGATTTAGGTGATCCAGAGGACTCCATCGCCCATATGGAGGAACATCAGGACAATGATGCAACAAGGAAAGATTTCTTTAAGACAGCTGATTTTTTGACTTAGTCCAGGAATCTACAAAGGTCACAATTGCCGTACCTGGGCCAGGAACACTCATCTAATAGGCTTGTTGTATCTTTGCACCTTATTTTTGGACCAGCTGCTAAGTGTGTCAAGACCCCCATGTACAACTGCTCTAGCTTCAAAAGGAATTGAGAACATTACCCTCTTCCTGGGCCATAACTTTTTAAGTTGGTAATGTTACTGTTACATGGAGTACTACTGGTGCGGGAAAAAATAACCTATTTGTACATACAGTTGTAATTGTGCAAATTTATGCACAGATTTGTACAGCCGTATATGAAAATGTCATTAGCCTGGATTAGATCATTAAGCTCCTTGAAGGTGTTCACACAGTGCCTACCAATGAAATGAATCAGGTTATCTTTCATCTCTTGCAAGCTGCGTGCAAGGCTTTTTAATGTACCTTTCCAACATTTTACACTTGGTTCACATTTTGAAGATTTTCTTTGCAACCATAAGGGCTATAAACTTCTTTAAAGGAAAACCTAGATTTGCGGCATCTCACTCTGTTATGGATGGTATTTGACTCTACGTGCTTACTCAGGCTTTTAAATCACTTGTAGACTTGTCCTCCAGCATACTTACCCTTCATATAGCTTTTTTTAGCTCATCATACTTTTAAGATATTTTATCAAAATCTAAACCATATATGCCAAGTTTTCTATTAACTCAAGATTAGATAAACAAGTTATCTGAAAATGATCCCCCTTAAAGAAGCAATGCTGCTTCGATGCCATCATGTTAGACTTTTCCAAGTGTTGTATTGATGTCTAATTACTCTGTTTAAAATCCTTTATATTAGAATCAAATTTTTAAGACTGTAAAACTTAAAAAAAGCACAAGTGATTTAGGAGTCCACATCACTTTTCAAACTGGATTTGGGCTCCTAAGTTACACCTCTACCCCGATACAACGCTGTCCTCGGGAGCCAAAAAATCTTACCGCGTTATAGGTGATACCGTGTTATATTGAACTTGCTTTGATCCACCGGAGTGCACAGCCCCGCCCACCCGGAGCGCTGCTTTTTACCGCGTTATATCCAAATTCATGTTATATCGAGTCACGTTATATCGGGGTAGAGGTGTACTTACATAGGTTTTTTTAAAAATTGCCAACAATTCCTAGTGGTTGCAAAGCAAATAAACACAATTTAATTGTCGTGATAACTCCAGTTCCTCTAAAATGATTAGATTTTGCAGTCACATTTTAAAAGGTTTGGTATTATTAATTAAGCATTTCATTATAGAAAGAAGGAATCTCACTATATTACACAAGTGTAATATGTTAAATTCAGGTATATTTAATATATTTTAAATTCAGGTCTGAAAGTTGTAGGGCTTACTTCTTTAATGAGCCTAACATTTAGCAAAGCTGTAGTCAAACTGGAGAGAGACTAAACTGTTGTATCCCTTGGTGTAACCCTAGAGAAAATCAGTAAATATCTTTGTTGTACGTCCCCAGTGCTGGTATAAACACAAAGTACAGTCCCGTTACTTGTTTTTATATTTTTTAATAAAGGGTGATTAGATCTATTCCCTTGCAATTACTGAATAAACTGTTACCTGGTGTTTGGGCAAGGATAAGCATGTTTTCCTTCAGATCAGTATGCCAGAGATCTGCTGCCATATGTGCTATTCATGCTTTCTCATGGAAGGTAGGGGGTGCCGGAACAATTTTTATAGTGGTGGTGCTGAGAGCCATTGAACCAAATTGTAAACCCTGTATATAATGGAATCCACTTCAAGCCAGCCACACCTCCAGCATCCCTAGTTCCAGCACCTATAATGGAAGGATACTTTGCATTTCCTATTAGTTGATTGCTTTTCACTGATGGAATTCTTCATCTTAAATATATATTAAAAACAGAATGGTTTTTATAACACATTTGGCATAAATGAGAAGAGAACTCTGGTCATATATCATGCAATTCTACTCTTGTCAATTAACCTGTATAAATAGAGCACACCAGAATTGAAATCCTAAGTTGTTTTATTGTCATGAACAGTTTCAAATTAATTGGAGGCATTGGGTAAAGCCATTGTATATAGAAATAATCTAATAGTCAAATAAATAACTAAATTAAACAAGTCTCTAAAAAGAAAATTATGTGAAGCAAATTGTTAAATAGGTATTTAAATATCAAGTTAATAGAACCACTTTGTAATTACAAAACCAGGTAAATTGTTAAATAGTCATAACTTATATTTTGTGTAATTTAGCACTGATTTATTCTTTTAATTTCAAAACAACTTTTCATGCGTTAACTTCCATTTTGGTTTTAAGTGTAGGATTTTTTCAAAGGCTTTTACATACGTAAAACAGCAGTTAAGTACATATGCTTATAATTTAGTTTCATGTGACATTTACAGTAGAAAACTTATGGGTTTGGACTATGGAAGGTTTGGGCAGTGCATATTTTTTTCACCTGATATGCTGAGTGGCATCTTTGGAGATTGTGACATGCAATAACTATTACTGGGTCTATATGGACTGAGCACATAGCAGCAAGGTGAGCCCATAGAATTTTCATCAGAAGAAGTGCCTTAATTGGCAATAGGCTCTTCTGGGGAATATTAAATGTTATGGGTAGAGCCAACGGCTTCCACTCCCAATTGGGACTTTCGGAATGTGGGCACGGATGCCGAGCACATCTGCAGAGCTAAAAAATGTTATGCATGTTAGGCTCATATGAAAATGTATTTATAATAATTAAGTATCTCATAGCAAGCTGGGTCAGGGTGTGTGTGTAGTTTATGGAGGTGGATTAATTTAACCCTTTAACACAGACACTAGTTTAATTTACATTTTAAATGATTAATAGAATTAATGTGAAAATGAATCAAGCTGTTCTGTCATAATTTATTTTAATTTGTGCAAGTATTTATGGCTTTTATTTAAGTGGCGAGTTTGTACTGATGACATCTGGATGAATGTTTTCATTTTTGTTTGAACAGTTCTATATAACGTATTGTTTCTTGTTTGAGTTTGATACAATTCCAGTTCAGTACAGAAATATTTTTCTACCTCTGTATTATTTTAACTGTGTAGTAGCATTTAGAGTGTGGGCTTGCATAGAAATCTTGCTGGGAAGAGATAGCTGGGGTAATGAGTAGCAAAGTGGTTAGGGGAAGGGAGCTGGAGGGCTATACCCGGTCACTGACTTTGTTCCTATCTGGGACAAATATAGTTTGCCTCAAGTTCCTAATCCATCAAATATAGATATTTGCCATTATAAAATACTTTGCAATTCACAGGTGAAAGGCATGTTTAAATTCCCTTGGTGTTACGCTGGAGACGTTCTAGAGATGTTTCTTTTGTGGTTAAACAAGTAAAAAAAAAAAAAAAACTCACGTAAAAGAACAACTTTTAACTTCATTTATTTACAATCACTGTAGTTCGATGACAACTTAATGTTTTGTGGTGGAGTGTGTTCCACTTAATTCTTATACATACAGGTATAATTTAAGTGAATGGAATCTTGGCATGAAAATCAGTTTGACTTTAACACAAGTTGGACTTTAAATGTCCAACTGTTTTATTGCAGTAATTTTAAAAATATGAGCACAAAGGTGATATTTGGACATATGATGATTCTGTTATTTTTAAAACGGAGTAATTAAACATGGACATTTCTGGATTTTACTTACCAAGATCTTAATTCAGGATTCTGTGATTGTTAATAGAGGATTTCATTAGTACCTATAGGAGGGAAAGAAATGCAGAAAATATTCAGAACCCTGAATTCAGGTCTTGACTGGGGAAAAGCTTCATATTTGTACCCTCTGTAGTACGTTATGTAACACATGATTGCAATTCTAGTCAACTAGTTTTCACTGATTTTATACATTTTTGAATCCTTTAGGTAACATTCATTTTAATAGATTTGTACCTGCAATGTGTGAAACAGATGTGTAAAGCCATGATTAACATCAGTATGAAGTATTAGCTCTTGGAACTTTATTTGTAAACTAGCACGTTTTTTAACTATATTGAGTTTTCAATGGGGAAAACAAGGGAGAGAGGGGAGTTCTTAGTGGACAAAATCAGGGCTTTCTCATCAGCAGAATGCCAGTTTATAGGTTCCAGTGAGATTTATTCTTGTTTGTGACTGTGCTAAGTCACAGCTCTAAATGGTGGTTAACGTAGTGAAACTGAGAATTAGCTCTCAAGACTTCAAAAAGCTAGTGTGGATACTGAATTGCTGCTCTCATCGTAGCTGCATGTATTATTGCATGTTTAAGTTGTTTATATTTACTATAGTATCTGTATCTTGATGTACAAATTTTCATGTTTTGTTTTTCAATAGGTTGTCGTATCCACTAATATTGCTGAAACATCATTAACAATAGATGGTGTTGTGTTTGTGATTGATCCTGGATTTGCTAAGCAAAAGGTAAATATGTGCTGTCTTAACCTAAATGGCTTCTTGCTTAATTAGGGCAGAAAATGTTTGGGAACCTAACTTGCACATAACTCTGTTATTTCTACAAATATTTAATGTCTTTTGTAAAAGAGAAATCTCATCTTGTGAGGAGTAGATTAGGCCTTTGGTGTTCTGGCTGTGAACGTCTCTACTTTTGCCTGACCAACTGAAAACAGGAACAGAGACTTCCATGTTTTCTTTTCCCTGACCCCCCTTTCCCTGTTATGTAATATTACCAATAGCAGTGCAGGATTTTGTTTCTAGAGCTCTTACATAAAATGTTTTTCTTTACCATATGGCTCAGCAGTAGCCAAATGAAACTGATTTAGTTTTTCACTTTGCTTCTATTGTGTTTTATTTGTGAGGGAGCGGGGGTGTTTGGTCAGAGATTTGGGGTTTTTTTGCACCGGTGCCCAGGACAGGTATGGGGTGAAGGAGCAGTAGCACAGGTTCAGTCTCTGTAGAAAGGAGGGGTGAAAGATGTGGGCTAACCAAGTGGACAAATAGCAGTGCAACAGAGTTCAGGACACATGTTTGTAGGGGCTGAAAGTGCAGCGGTGGCAGCACATTCACCTATCGAAGGAAAGCTTTACCTTGTTGCTTTCTACAGGAAACTCAGGCCATTTGAAGGAGCTGTCACTGGACTGAAAATTAGTGTCCAGTCCTACTCAATCAAAAGGAAAATTACTGTTGTGTGTTGACTTCAGAGATGAGGGGCAACAAAAGAGGTCTAACTTGCATTATAGACTTGCTCCAACCCTCTCCTTTTAATTATTCATACTTTTCTGAAATTCTTGGGCTGGAATGGTCGTCTTAGTCTCAAGTCCAGAAATGATTTTTTGAAAGTTTGAGCAAATGCAGTTCATCCATTATTGAGATTTCCACGTTTTAAGAAAAATCATGAAAGTTCCTTCTGTGCAGTCAAATATCGTACATGCATAACTCAAAAGTGGTTGGATTGATTATTTGATTTCTGCCTGTTTTTCCATCTGAGATTTAAGCAAAAGCTGTGTTTGAAAAAATAGGTCAAGTTTTAAGTTGCATGTTCAAATATTTTCACTTATATACAGTAGGACTGTGCTTGTGGCTTATTAATCAAAAGTTATAGCAGTCAAAAACATTGGAATGTTGTGAAGTGCTTCAGGTTTTTTTAAATCAATCTAAATCCTGAGGGTGCCTTACAATCTGGCCCAGAGTTTGTCTTCTCATTTCATTGAGAGAGGGTGGCTTTGGCTATGTCTCACTGTGTGAAGGAGGCATCAGCCCATACAGAACTAGATCATAAAATTGAAGATCCATTGGCATTTTTTCAAATTTAAAAAATAATAATTCCATGCAAAAACAACCCTTGTTTTGATGCAGCATTAAAGTAGAGAAATTCATCACTAAAAGTCAGCAAATTCAGTATTCAAGTGAAAAGGTAAAAGGTAACATTCTACTACTAATAAAAATACCTAGCTCTTCATCATTAGCTCTCAAAGCACTTTACAAAGATCCAACTTACAGATGGGAAATAAGGAGGTAAAGTGCTTTACCTGAGGTGTCACAGCAGGACAGTGGCTGAGCCAGGAATAGAACCCAAGCCTCCTGAGTACTAGTCCAGTGCTCCAGTGAGTAAGCCACACTGTCTCCCTAGTTTACTTCTACTTCTACTTCAAAATATAGTCTCTTGAGAGCCTTAAAAATCATTGTGAAATAAACTGTAGAGCAGAGACTAGTTTATAATATAACCCTATATGTAAGTTGTAGTAATTTTTACATTTTTGTCTTGATTATTTTTTAGTCTTGATCTACAAAACAAACTACCGTATATACTCGTTCATTAGCCCGTTTGTTTATAAGCCGACCCCCCAAAATGGTTAGGTAAAATAGCAAAAACTGTATGACCCTTTCATAAGCCTACCCTATATTTCAGGGGTTGGAAAACTTTGGCTCCCTGCCCGTCAGGGTAAGCTGCTGGCGGGTTGGGACATTTTGTTTACTTGGAGCGTCTGCAGGCATGGAGCCCCGCAGCTCCCTGTGGCTGCGGTTCGGCGTTCCCAGCCAATGGGAGCTGCGGGAAGTGGCGCCCTTTTCGGCAGCTCCCATTGGCTGGGAACGGCGAACTGTGGCCACAGGGAGCTGGGGGGCTCCCTGCCTGTAGACACTCCAGGTAAACAAAATGACAATGTATTAGATATTCAATTCAATGATTCCATAGAGCAGGTGTCGGCAACCTTTCAGAAGTGGTGACCCGGGGTTCTATCCATCCAGGCCGGCAGCGGGCTGAGCGGGGCCAGCGGCGGGGACGCAGCAAGGTGCCACAGTAAATCAGCTCGCGTGCCGCCTTTGGCACGCATGCCATAGATTGCCGACCCCTGCCGTAGAGTTTAAAATCTCAAATTTTGGTGTAGACCCGTTTATAAGCCGACCCCTGCTCTTTGATGCGTTATTTTTTTACCAAAAATATTCGGCTTATGTGCGAGTATGTACGGTAGCTTTGAAGAAAACATGTTCAGTAGTTTAATATTATATTTGTGAATGTTTAAAGCTATTGAGTTGAAGAATATATATATATTTTATTTAGCTCAATTCACACCTTAGAGCAGCTTAGATCATGGGGCCTTCTCTTTAGATGTCCATAACTTTATAACTACTGAACTAATTTTTGTGTACATCATCCTAACATAGATTTTAAACAAAAATTCAAGCAAGTCTGCAGACTACATGTATTGTATCTAGTGTAAAGAAAGTTCTTTAATTTCCAGTTTGTATTTTGTACTACATGACAGATTACTTACGTTTTAAAATATAGTCTTGCTTTACGTCATCAGCACAGTTTTACAAGTTTTTGATTTCCTGACCCCTCGGTACTTGATTATCCAATCTTATAATTACATTGAGGCTATCTGTTTTTGCATGGAATTATTTGAGCACCAGCAGTGTGTTTAGCACTATATAGAACAAATGGGAGACATTAGTCCTGCCATGAGAATCTTACAATCTAAACATACACACATGAAAAGTGGACAGGGAGCCTAGCTGGAAAAGATGTTAACAAATGAGTTGAAAAGTAAACATTTCTTAGTTTAGACAGGCAAATGTATTTGAACCTTTCCATTACCAATCCAGTTGTTTTCTGTAGCCAGAAAGTTTCTCTGACATTAATGAATGCACATAATCTTTCAGTTAGAAGCAGTGTTTGAAAATTTAGGCTAATATCTTTTTATTTCCTTCATAGCATTTTTACCTATGTGTGTGTGTTACTTTTCTTTTCCCTGCTTCGGATTCCACTATTACATAGGTATACAATCCTCGTATTAGAGTTGAATCTCTATTGGTGACAGCGATCAGCAAAGCATCTGCTCAGCAGAGAGCTGGCCGTGCTGGTCGTACTAGGCCAGGCAAGTGCTTCAGGCTTTATACGGAAAAGGCGTACAAAACTGAAATGCAGGTAAGATTACTTGAATGTAGAATCTCAAAAATTGCTTTACCATGTAAGAAACCTGCAAAAACTGGCAAAACACCCCCTCTCCACTCCCACACCCCCTCTCCACTCCCTCACCCCTCCCCCCCCCAAAACCCTAATAACTCCACCCATCACAAAAACAAAAAGTGGAACAAAGTACAACTCCATAACCCACAGAATTTAAAAAGAAAGTGCTCAAAGAAAAGATATTACCTCGCCCACTTTGTCTCACTTTTACCAGATATTGCCAGGGTGTTTAAGTTTGATGGAAAGGCGGGAGAATTAAAAGCAAAGTGGAAAACAAACTTGTTTTTTGTTTTTTGGGCCAGGACAACACCTACCCTGAAATTCTGAGATCTAATTTGGGATCTGTGGTGTTACAGCTGAAAAAACTCGGTATAGATGACTTGGTGCACTTTGATTTTATGGACCCACCAGGTATGAATTTGATATCAGGTTTGTTTAGAATTATATCTTGTGGATGTATTTTTGTAAGTAGTTTACTTTGTTACTCTAGAATATTTTAATTTCAGTGGATATTGTGTAAGTAGAGACTAATAAAATGAACTACCATTCTATCTGCTAGTTGTATTTTAACTATTTTGTGATTACCCATAAACAGCTTTCTCCGGTTATCCTGATTTTTAGTGCTCACCCTTTTGTTACCTCCTCTCTTCCCTCCCCCCCAAAAAGCCCCAATAACAAAACACAACTCATCTTTCTGTCATTGTTTGCATGAGTGCTTTCTTCTTTATTTAAGCAAGGAATTCCACAACATGCCCCCTGTTTGGAGAGGATAAGGCAAAATCAAATCATCTGTGTTAGAAAACCTATTAGTTTAGTTAATGAGGTTTTTTTTTACTTAACACCTTGATTACACAATCTGATTGCACATCAATTAACAATCTCATGTAAATAAAATTGGCCAGTACTTTTAAAGTTTAATGCACACTTTGGCATATTGAAGCATAAAATGAAAGTTCCAGCTCAATTGTGAATTTAATTTTTGTAAACCTTTAAAAATTTAAAAGAAGCCAGTTCATGTTGCTACTTAAATATCAGTCTGGGCGCTGATTTTTAAAATGATACATGGCAGTATTTTTAAGTCCTTGTTAAGCATTGGAATACAGTCATACAAATAAGTCAGAATCCTTGTTCCCATGCAGGAGGTGTGCATAATGGTAAATAGTATTACTTTATACTTTGTATACATTCATAGAGAATAGAGGACAAGTATAGCATTTTTGTAGGAGCAGAGGATGTTTGTTGAGACTGCAGGCATCTAAAGTTCTTTTTTTTTTTTTTTTAAAGTCTGGCCTAAAATAGTGTGGTATTCAAAAAGTGACTTTGGACTGACTTTGTACGAAACTAAAGGAAGGGGAAGACACGTCAGCGCACTTGGTATAATAAAATATGTCCATGTCACTAAATATTTGACACTGTTCATACCAATTGTGACTGGATTCTGAAAAGTGCTTTTTAAAAACAAAGCTTAGCCTGCAGATTAAGTATCCTTCGCAATAAAAATTGAGGTTCTTGTTGGTGAAGATGCCAAACTTTTACTAACATAATTTTTGCGAAAGAATGACAAAACTATCAAGAAACAGGGTGGAGATGTAATATTTAATTTTGAGCAAGGTAAATTTAATACATTCTTAATTACTAGGGTGAACAGATAGCAGGTGTAAAAAATCAGGATGGGGGTGGGGGAGTAATAGGTGTCTATATAAGAAAAAGCTCCCAAAATCGGGATTGTCCCTATAAAATCAGGACATCTGGTCACCCTATTAATTAGTAAAGCAATAGTTAAACCATGCCCTCTGACACAGCCTTTTTGCAAGTTACAGCAAATACAGAGCTTCTTGCCATGTCTCATATGTATGGACCTGTTGGCGTGCACTTTCTCTCTGTAGACCCAGAAACACTTTCATTTTAAAAAAACACATTTTCAAATGCGCCAAGTTAAAGAGAGAATAGTAAGAATTAAGCTTAGGCTTTCTAGTAGTAAAATTTTTGAAGTTCATTACAGTTGAAACCCAGACATCATGATAAACTTGTAGCCATCTTTAATAGGGTAAATTAGCTCACTTAAAAAAAGGCTTTGAATCTTGTGTAGAAATCTCCGATATCAAACTTTGAGTATTATGTGATTCATTGGTTGCTAGATCTCTATAATGCATTTGGTGACCGCTTGTGTTCTGAATTTGGTCCACTACAGAAAGAAAAATGATATTGTGTATAATAGTTTGTACTTTGTCACATTGTTGCTTACTAAAGGCAGCTTAACTAATAGAGTGTTTTTCTTTCAGCTCCTGAAACTTTGATGAGAGCCCTAGAGCTTTTGAATTATCTAGCCGCTTTAAATGATGATGGAGACCTGACTGAATTGGGATCCATGATGGCTGAATTTCCACTGGATCCACAGCTGGCTAAAATGGTTATTGCAAGTTGTGACTACAACTGTTCTAATGAGATCCTATCTATTACTGCCATGTTGTCAGGTAATAGCAGGGGGAGGGAAAGAGATGCCAAACAAAGCCCAGCTCTCCAGTTTGAGAAAACATTTTAGTTTTCCAACATCCGTACATATAAATTATTACAAACATACCTTTTAATAAAGCTAGAATTGTGCCTTTCGAAGCTTATTGTATAGAATTATTCAGTAGTGGGTTAAAATTTAGAAATGAAATTAACACTTACTAAAGCATGCACTATGCATGAAATGGTGAAACAAGAATTTGACTTCCTAGATTGTAGCTAAAATATATTGATTTTTTTTTTTTTTTTTTTTTAATATGGAAGAATTCTAGGCCATTGGAACAGAAATGTCTATTGCTTTGCTTAGTACGGAAGAATTCCAGGCCATTGGAACAGAAATGTCTATGAGGATTGTTGTCCATTTCTGTTGAGGACTAGGAGTATCAGTTCGGCCATTTTCTTTTTAACATCCCCAATCTAATTTGTGGTATTCCTTTACATAATTTGTAAACCCAACTCTTCCCAAAGTGACCTGATTTTTAAAAAATTAATTACTAACCTTAAACTCAGATAAATGAAATACTACATAAATTTCCCAAGTTTTCAAAGTAAAAGGGAAAGTCAAAAAGGGTAGTGACATATTATTGCAAAAATGGAAAAGGAAATTTCATTCTATAACACATTTAATGGATATGTCTGCGCAGCTATATTTTGCTGCTGCAAAACATGAATGTTAGTATGCCGTAGCAGAGCTGCTTGTCAAGTAATGTGTCTTCTGAGGGGAAAAAAACAAGAAGTCAAGTGGGTTCCATGTTTAAATCCCCAATTATATAGAACGATTGACTTTATGCTCAGTCTTAACAAGATGACAGCAAGTTTTAGTCCATTGTGGTGCTGAGGATATTAATATTGGTTCTTACCATTTACAGACTTGTTTACAATACAGTTTTACTTCTGATCCTTCTTGAAATGGTTCAAGCTTAATGTAGATGATTAGAAAAATGTTTTGGCTAAGTGTAAAATCTTGCTTTAGTTTAGTCTTGCAGCGTATTAATGATGTGAAAGTTTTGTAAGCACAAGCTAAAATGTTTGCAGAGTTTTTTGACTGTTCAGACTCAGAGCAGATGGGCAGGGCAGAATCTAATCATTTTTAACTAAATTGTAGCCTTATTTGCGGAGGTGGTGGTAGGTTGGTGCCTGCCTTTTCTGTCACTTTTTCCTTTCCCCTTCCTACCCACCCCAAAAGTTATACTAAGGAGAGAGTGTCAGGCAAATAAACTTTTGAATTTAATATCTTGCCTTTTGTTTTCTACTGAGTATGTTAGGGGTTATCTAGATGAATAGTACACAGCAATCTGGGGTGTAACTCTACAGGACACTAGCATGTTACACACTTAACTGTCTGTGTGGTCCCTGCTACCATACAATAGAAGTTTCTTAGGGGACATTGACCTGCTGCTATTTCAAAGCTGAGGGCACCCTAGGAAACTTCTAGTGGGAGATAGTGGGGTCCACACAGAGAGTTAGCATGTGGCATGTAGTGCGCTGTAGATTTACACCCCAGTTTGTTGTGCATTATCTGTTTGTCTAGACAAGACGCCTTTTTTTTTCTTCTATATATCTTTCTCCCCTCCAAGCCTGCATTTAATAATATCACCACCATCTATTGGGATAAATAATAATATATAGAAAGCTGGCCGCTTAGGGTGGTCTCTTTCTTGGATGTAGTTAAACTACTGTTTGTTAAAACCAAAAATCTCAAAAAGTTCTACAAGGCAAACAGCTGGGCTGGTGACAACATGTTGCAGAAAGCACCTGTAGGAGCTGTCCAGAATCAATTCAGAGATTAGCTGTTTGGATTAAATGGAAGAACTAAATACCAAAAAGGAGGAAGGGATAGCAAAATTATTGAACACAATAGCAAATAAGTTAGTTAAACCTTCATACAATAAGTTCCTTTTACAAAAGGCTGTTTTGAGGAGTGTGAAGGCTTATTTAAACTAGGTAAAGCGAGGGCATTGCATATTATTCATCCTTAACTCACTGTTTTGAATACTTTGTAGCACTTGCTAAATTGCAGGCTTCTGGAAAACTCTGCCACATCTAGGAAAAACAGTGAGTCAGTGGAGTGACAGCATAATTAAGAATTTGTTTTTATTAGCTCAAGTTAGACTTACCTTTTTAAATTTTTTTTAATTTCCTTTATTTTCAAATATGGGACTTTAAAGATGTGGGGTTGTGGAAGAAACATCTTCATTTACATTGTATTTGATCCATTGGTCTTTCAGATTTGTTACCATGTGAATTGAAGAGTAAGGTTCTTCCACTAACATTGCTGTTACAATGTCCACCTTTTATTGGAATTTCATGCAGTATTCAACTTGTACAGTATAGCTGGTCTTTAAATTTAGCATTTACTAGCTTTTATGAGAGATACAAATCAAAAGGTCCTTGTCTGTGTTACAGACAAATGATATCTAGAATAGTGTTTCTAATTAGGTTTGTGGGATTTAGTTGTGAAAAAGTGCAAAACGTCCCAAGTGACTGGAAAAATAAAGAACATAGGCCTTCAGGGCTCTCCTTTCAGCATGTTTCATAGCATTAAATTAACTTAGACACACAAAACCTTATGATGCTGTCTACTTAAAGAAAAACCAAACTCTGTGTTTTTTTTTTTTTTTTTAAATGAGGTGAAGACCTTGTATAACAACTTCCAACCTCATGAATTAAGATTAGTGTTGCAAACCTATCAAAATGGGGTGGCTGCTTATAAAATGTTGACAGACCATAGAACTAAGTGATGCTACAGTAAATATTTGTGCACTTAAATTGTCCATTCATCTGTTAGATTTTTGGCACTTAATTTCTGGTTTTGAATTAAAAGTCAAAGCATGCTTTAGGGATAAAATCATGTGTATAAGAGAAACTGAGGATAGGCAGAATTCATCAACTTCAGAGTGGGAGTTTTATTTCAAATAGTGCCAAAGGGCGGTTTAACCTTCCACCACTACCGCTAACATCATGACTTGGACTTCTTGATACTTTCTCATTCACATAAGTTTCTGTGCACCAGTGCTGATAGCAATACCTACTGAGGATGACAGAATACATATAAGGTTGAAATTACCTAGCAGCAGACTAGTAGTAAAGTTTCACCAGCTGCACTAGTGCAATATAGTTTGAAAACTCGCTTCTGCACTTCTGTCCATACAGAGCCTCTCCGAAAAAAACTTCCTCTTAGACATTTATTGTCACTTCGATACTGGTGTGTGGTACAGCTATCAGCACTGGGTCTTGAACTGAGATCTGTTGAGCCTTCTAGTATATTTAGGCAATCTTGATGGCCTTCAGAATAGAGATTTTGATGCCTACATATAGTTCTAGTCAAAATAATCAGGTACTCTGTAGCTTTGAAACCCTCTTGTCTTACAGATGTGGTTAGGTGTTGATGTACCAAATCAAGGTAGTAAACAGTCCAAGATGCAGTTGGAGGCCATCCTGCCCTGCCCTATGCTCTGTGAACTGACCTAGCTAGGCCTTGTTCCTCTATCTGTGAATGCGTGACTCATCGATATGGGCGTTTGTGTTGGGCCCATACCAACCTTGTTTAGTCCCACAGTGTTTTGTTCGCCCCACGGAAGCCAAGAAAGCAGCAGATGAAGCCAAGATGAGGTTTGCCCACATAGATGGAGATCATTTGACCTTACTGAATGTCTACCATGCTTTCAAACAAAGTAAGTGTAAACATAAGCATTTATATAATATGCATTAACTCTTAATATTACCATCCTCTATGCCTGGTGTCAAGTGTGAATTAAGCGATCCTATTTCAAAGTACCAGTTTGTTATATAACACAGTATTTTTAAATAAATTTTTTAAATAAATGTTATCACGCGAGGAAAAATTGGCATATTTTTAACAATACTATCTCTCTTACCTTTGAACCAGGAAGTAATCTCATTGATCTGGAAGACTGACTTATTAAGACCTGAACTCATGTCTGCTGCCTAGTTGTATGTTCTGACTACCAGTTCCCCTCCTGCTTCTGCTAGATCTGCTCCCTGGGTTTCCTCTGTGCTTTTCTGAATTGGCTTAGGCACTGAGTTTTTCAGGTGGCAGATGCAGATAGTCTAAGAAGCTATTTTAAGACTATTTTAGAGTTTTATAAAATGTTGGGGTTGTTTCTGATGTTTCTTTACCTGTAAAATTAGATGCCACCGTTCTCACAAGTCCACCTGTTGAGCTGAGAGGGAGAGAGAATAAAACCTTTACATGTAAAATCCCTTTAAGAGAGACTTGAAATAGCACATCTGTATCCCTCAAAAAAAATTTTTGTTTTAAAGTTGGGTATCTTGGTCTGTCCCAGGTCTTGAGGTGAGTGCTGGGTAGCCTTGGACAGGCATATGAAGGAATCTACTCTTTCCAGGCATATGAAATATCAGGCGTAGAAAACCTGAATTTTGCTTGCCTTGGGCAGAGGGTAATGTCTCCAGGGAGTTTTGAGGAGGGGATATTTCAGATTTTGGGGGAGGACAGGAGCATTTCTGGGACCAGGTTGATTTGGGGGAAAAGGCTGGTTAGGGGGCTGGAATGTTGGAATAAGTCTCAAGGAGATTAATTGTTGGAAGAGCATAGGTGACATGTCTATAGTGAATGGTAAGTTTATCACATGACTCTGTAATTTATCACATGGATATCACTTGTACATATACGGTTTGTATGTGTATATACAAATACAGTATCCTCTCCTCCAAAACCATCACTCGTTTTGTTCAAAAATATTTTGGCAGTTTGAGCAAGATCAAAATGACAGAGAGAACTGCTTATCTTCACCTATCTGTCTTCTTGAAAAATAACTATAAAAGTGGGATCCTGGGTTCCAGTATTTTTCATCAACGATTTCCATGTCAAATTTGCTTTGTTTATAAGTGAAAAGATTACACCAATTGCCAAGAAAGCTTAACCTGGAGTTTAACAATCCAGCTGTATTTTTACATAATCAGTAAAAGAAAAAAAAAATAAAGAAAAAAATGTTGAACTCAAGACTTGGCTGGCAGCTTTGGTGTATGATGCAAAGTTGAATCCAGTTTACTCTTCCATAACCTTATTGCAGCACTAACAGGAATAAAAACTGTAGGTTTTTAAAGTTAAACTTGTATGTAGAATAAAAACGCTATTATTACCTGATTGCTTTTTGACTATAACCACATGTGACGCTCCAGTAGCAAGAGAGAGTGTCCATCTTTTTTGATAAAGAGCCTACAGATGTCTTCAGATCTTCACTTTGAGCAGTAGTTAAGAGGCTTCTGTGAAAATTCACTATTAGTTTTGCAGAGCCTTGCACTGGTGCCACCTTTATGCTGTCTGCTCTTTATATTGAAGACTTGAGGCTCCAGGATTCTCCATGTGCCTTTTATGGACACTTAATTTGAACATTTTTTGGAAGCCTGCAAGTGAAGGAAGTGCTTGACTTGGAGGGTGAAAACAATGCTCCTTATGAAAATTCGATTTAGAACTCTGCCGAAAGTGATAGCAGCTTTCAGTCCTCACTTAGCATCAAAATAATATTTATTGGTGGTGGTGTGTTGGATCCTAGGTCGATCTTGTTTGGGATCCAGCAGTTGTGGCAAATACCTTAGTGTTAGTACACCTGTTTTTGCCCCCAAAGGAGAGTCGTGTGCTGTTATAGATACAGTTTTTCCTCCTAAACCACTGTCCCTTTAAAAGTACAAGTACTCTGGTGAAGCATACATTCAATAATGATTAAAGGAAAACTGACTAGACAGTACATTTACAACAAGGGGCTGTGGTGATGTGTTCAGTTTGAGTAAAATGCCACTCTCTGCATGTGGAAATATCTGGGGAACCAGTTATTGCTTAATTTCACTGTGTTCCTATGGTACCTTATTTTGAGGTGGGAGGCTGGAAACTGCAACTGGATATTCTTTTGTACAGGACATTATAAAACTCCTGTTAAGTTCAGTGAAGGGGATAAAGATTAAATGGCATGCAGTTGAGATTTTCTCTCCAGTGTTTGGTTTAATAACTTTAAATTACTGTAGGGCTAGTTTGTACTGTTCATTCTACCAAAAAGCCTCTACATTAATCCTTTGTTTGTAAGGTGTCTTATGAGAGGAAAGTATAATCTATTTTTAATAGTTATAACATCTTGGCTTCGACAAAATAACTTGACAGCTTCCTCAATAAGAAATTTATCTTTTTTTGCTAGTCTGAAAATACCGAAAACTTACTCAGAAAACAAGTACCTTAAATCTTGCACAACTTTGTACATTTCACCTGTTTGTTTATACTTAAGTGAAGGATCACTTCTCTAAATGTTCAGGACAGTGTTTTTTAAGAATGAAGTGATCCTACAATCTAATTTCACACAGCATATATAAAGTATTCATGAACATGGAAGACCTATTTTAACAAATAATATATAGTAATAATACATTAAGACAAAAGAGATAGTTCTGCTCTACTTGGCACTGGTGAGGCCTCAGCTGTGTGGTCACCGCACATCAAAAAAGATGTGGACAAATTGGAGAGTCTCCAGATGAGAACAACAAAAATGATATGTTCAGAGAATATGACCTATGAGGAAAGGTTTAAGAAAACCAACAACTTGGGCATGTTTAGTCTTGAGAAAAGTAGACAGGTAGGGACCTGACAGGTCTTCAAATATGTTAAGGGCTGTTTATAAAGAGGACGTCCCTGGCCACTGGAGGTAGGATAAGAAGTAATCTGCAGCAAGGGAGATGTCAGGTGTTAGGAAAACTTTCTAATTTAAGGATAGTTTCAGTACTGGAACAAGCTTCCAAGGGAGGTTGTGGAATTTCCGTCATTGGAGGCTTTTAAGAACAGATTAGACAAACACCTGTCAGGGATGGTCTTAGATATACATGGTCCTGCCTCAGGCAGGGGGCTGGGCTAGATGTCCTTTTGAGCTCCTTTCCAGCTCTGCATATCGATGATTACTAATCTGACAAAAGCAGCATTACTTAAAGCCACAAAGGTGATTTCAAGTGCATCATTTGAAGATAAACTGGCATTGCAGAGCTACATAAGAATGAAACACATTTCTTAGGTAGTTCCGGTATTGTCTAAATGTTTCTGATTTTTGTTATTGAAGGGAACTGATGCTGTGTTTAATGTTATCACCCTTCTTTAAACTCACTGAAATGAGCTAATGTTACAATGTCTCGATAGAACCACCATTTCCGAACAGTAAAAGGAGTAAAGTGTGAGCGTACCCATGGTAGGCAACTAGTCTGGATAATCTAGAGCACTAGAAGTATGGAATTCTGGAGATGTTACTGTGATAGGCTGTGACCAGCCACTTATGTCTGCTTTCATTTTCCCTTCAAAAGGCAGAAAACACTTAACCTACCACTCCTCTAAGGTAGCTAAAGCATGCTTCTACTGCTCTTTAAAGATGAAAAAGCTCTATAAAAGGGCTTAATATTTAAGGAGGTTTTATTATTTTTATTCATTTGATTTAGTTGATGTATCAATGCAATATAGTTGTACTAGTCTCTCATGTGTTCATCACCCATATAAAGTTAGTAAAGATTTCCACATGCTACTTGCAGCCTGTTCATTTTTCCGAGCAGTGTGGGCACTTGTGTTGCATAGTGCCTCTCATCTTAGGAAGAAAGAAATTCATTGGCATAGCATTTCAGCAAGACAATAGTGTTTAAATGTGTATGTGTATTACCGCACACAAAAAATTCTAGGTATATTCTTTGGTCCTGGCCACACATTTCCTGAGTAGAAGACACTTTAGCCAAGTTATCTAATGTATAAAATCCATTGAAGAGCCTAAGAACTGTTAGCACTTATAAAATATGGATTTTGTTTCTGGTTCATCTGATTGACCATTCAGTTGGTCACTGTTTTATTTATTTGTTTTAATGGGATAAAACATTCAGTTTTGGATGATTCATGACTTTTTTTTAATATTGCAGATCATGAGTCGGTTCAGTGGTGTTATGACAACTTCATTAACTACAGGTCCCTGATGTCTGCAGACAATGTACGCCAACAGCTGTCACGAATCATGGATAGATTTAATTTGCCTCGTAGAAGTACAGACTTTACAAGCAGAGACTATTATATCAATATAAGAAAGGCTTTGGTTACTGGGTATTTTATGCAGGTATGTGTGTATCTGTATATGAAATGTATAGACTCCTCAGTTTTTGCTGTGTAGATTTTAACTTTATCTTAATTAACTATCACCAGTTTATGCAACTTATATGAATATTACTTATAAAAATGTTTAACCATAATTTATTCAAACCTATTTAGTAGAAGATTTATTGAGTAGGAGTGTGCAATCAACCTGACAAATGATAGTCATCTGAAGAAAACCACACACTTGGAAGAGAAATTGCAGTTAAACTAATCTAATTTTTTCAAAATGTTATTTCTTTAGTCTTTACTAGTTACCTTGTTGAATAGCTGACAATTAATCCCTGGTAAATATTGTAAAAGAAACCAAGCAAAACACAGTCCTAATAAAATGGTCTTTCAAATAAAATGATTTTAAAATGCAAAATAGACAGTGTCTAATCTGACAGAACTACAGAAAATGTATTTCTAGAATTGTTTCTGATATTTGAAGCATGAGAAGGAAACTGCATTACAACTGCCATATTGGATTTCCGATATGAAAGGGGGAAGATCAGGTAGCTGCTTGCTTTAACAAATTTAAAATTAAGTTTTACAGTGGCAATAAGCTTCCATTTGGATAATGGTCTACTGCTTCTAAAAGCAAATGCTCTGAGCATTTTGATTAAAGTATTGACTCATTATTTTAAAATATGTAGGAATTGTTACGCTTGTCACGACCAGTTGTCTATTTAGATCTTCATTGTTGGACAAGATATTGTGCTAAACATTGAGGTTATTCTAATTATCTAATCTGCTCCAACAATTGTCAGCAACTGATTTATAAATACTGATAGCTAAGTATTTAAGCTGAGCCAGTGATTGATCATTTCAGCCTCGACACTTCTGTCAATGATAAACCATGGGTGGAGCACAGACATGTATTCTAATAAATTTAACAGAGTCCCAGGGAAGGAGATAGAAAAATATTGCAAGACTGTCCACCTTGTTCTCAAACTTTTCCCCCCTATGTAGAATGGTGATACATCCCACAACAGTTAGCTCTCTTGGGAGAGTTATAGCGCTGGTCCCTTTCTGGTTTTTAGTTGTCTACGTTTCTATAATTGTGCACTCTGATGCATAGTGAGGAAAAAATTACTCCAGAATACCACCAGACATAAAATTTGTACAGTATGTATAGTTGGTACTTGCAAGGAAATCAAGCCATATTCACTGTTTAGTTTCTAAAAGAAAATTTTAGCTGATCAGAAAATGAGGGGGAGCTGTATTCTTATGAGAGGACTGCTAAATGGCTACTCAGTAAGCCAGTCTGCCTTTTAGGCCTGGTCCACACTAACCCCCCACTTCGAACTAAGATACGCAACTTCAGCTACGTGAACCTTAGTTCGAACTTACCGCGGGTCCAGACGCGGCAGGCAGGCTCCCCCGTCGACTCCGCGTACTCCTCTTGCGGAGCAGGAGTACCGGTGTCGATGGCGAGCACTTCCGGGATCGATCCCAGAAGATCGATTGCTTACCGCCGGACCCGGAGGCAAGTATAGACGTACCCTTAGTGAAAGCGTAGTTTACATGGACTTATTTTGTGCCAGGTTCTTTCTTTTAAAAAGTTACTAACATGTCCTTGGATTTTGTGTATTTTGATGAGAGAAAAGCTCATGTGACTTTGTTTTATGTTTGTCTGAATTCACCTTTTAGTGGGTAACTCTTTAACAGTTTAACAGTAGTATTATAAACTTTTGTTTTAATTTTATATTAAAATATAAAATATTACTTTAAAGTATCATTAAAATTACATAGAAACCAAAAATGAAAATCATGGTTTTCATACTAATGTTATCTCAACCATGGGCTGTCTATTTTAATTATAGTAAACATTTCTCATAAACAGTAATGTATTGAGACAGAAATTTAGAAAACAAACCTGATTAGTCTAAGTGGTTTAAACCAAAACCAATAGCCAAAAGGTCTGCCACAAGCATGCTGTATTAAGTTTCCTATCTGTAAAATAACATACCTCACAAAGGCATTGAGGCCTGATTATTGATGCTGCTTGGAAGTGCACTGATATAAGTTACTAGAGAAGTGCGAAGTTTTAACTAAGAAATAAATGGAAAATACACTGACAAATTTAGTGTTAGTCTTGAGAATTTTCTGACTTTTTATGTAAACATACTTTGTTAATTTTTTCTCATTTTTAAGAGGGAAAAATCTTAAATTCTATATTAATCAAATTTGAGTGCTGGGGGAAATATGGTTTTATAACTGTGATTCATAATTGTTAAAACACATGCAGTGCACAGACCTTTCTCAGTCTAAGCTTTGTTTCCTCAGAGAAATTTCAGGCCCTAAAGTATTTAAATTCCCTGGGCTTCAGGGTACAAATAGCTATATAGAAACTTCAGCACTTCTTTTGCACTTGCATCTTTTAATTTCTACTTTCAAATTTAGTTTTGGAATGCTGTGTGAAAATATTACATAAATATTAAAATAACTAGATATCAGAGTTCTGAACGTAAGTGAAAGATGCTACTACAAATGTGAAGTATTGGCTCGTGAAATACTTCAAAAATAGTACTTCATGTAATTTTTTGCAAGTGTGCCTTAAGAGATGGTCCTTAGTAAGGGCCTGATTAGACAGACATATACGTAAGTACTCCTTCATTCCACACCTACGTCTAACAGAGAGCTGAGACACAAGAAGCCCTAAGAGATGAGACTGCATATTATGTATGCTTTGCATTAGCTTATAGTACTCAGATTAGGATACATAAAAATGAAAGGGGAAAATAGAAAAATGAATGGCCTTTGATATATAGGAGTCAAACTAAATGAACTAATGATCTTGTCTGGCCTGAAATTTTATATATCAAATAGCAATGCTGTCGTTTTTCTATTTCCCTTTTCATTGTTACCTGGTCATAATCCTGTTTTATTCATTCTGATAAAAACAGATCACAAAGAACTAAATTTTCATGCTTAAACAACTCTTTATTAGAGCAGATTTTTTTTTTTTAAGTGTAAAAACTGAAATTGCATGGTTTTAGAAATCTTAAGGATGGAGCCAGAATAACTTTATGGGAAGTACTAATCTGTGTTAAAAGTAGGATAAGCCTCCAAAAAGAATGTTAAGGAAACAAACAAAATGGGGAAATAACTGAATTGGAAAAGGGCAAGCAAAGGAAGTAATTGCAAGTATAATTGCACTGTCTCAAAACTTGGAGGATACCTGCATCTCAGTGATGCCTGAGGAGGCAAAGGCAAAACAGACTGAATCGTCTACATAAATCTAAACATTTTATCAAAAATAATTTCAAAAAGATTACTAGCATCAGTGGAGTATTCGAAAATATCGACTAGGTAGGTTTTATTGCAGATAGTAGGTTTTTGAATATTGTTACAAAAATGAAGGGGGGGGAGGGGAAACCTTGCTGCTGCAAAGGTTTTTGTCCTGGTAAATGCATATGCCTTTACGGTGCTTAACGCATTGATGCCCTGATCCCATTATTATATATTTTATATATAGTGCATTCAAACTATGATTGTCTTGTTGCTCAAGTTATAGTTAATGGCTGTAACTCAAAACCTTTTGTTAAAAAGTAGTATGTGCCAGTTGTCGTCTTTTCCCACTCTACTTCCACTGTCACTTCAGTGAAACCACTGGCAATCAATATTGGGGAATTAAAAATAGGTAACATATCATATAAAAATTGTTTTTATGCATATGTTTTATTGTATATTTCAAAATAAATCCAGAACTCCTCAAAATAATAGCGTATTACTGTTTCTGGCTATAAGATAAATGACAGGAAAATGGAAGCTATGATACTAAGAATGAGGAAATCAGATGTTGAGATTTTTGTATAAATTTAAATAGTCAAGAGAGATTCGGATAAATGTACATGTTATTAATAAGAAAATTTACAGCAAATTATTCCCTAAAATAAAATATTTAAATAAATGAGTTGTTCTTCCCTTACCTTTTCTACATATGATAGAAACAGTTAAACAATTGTTCTCCCAGGAATATTTTTGAACCAATATATTCCATTCCCAATCCAGGAAACAAAATCATTATTGTGTGGTCATCCAAACCTGAAATAAAGTAATGGTATATCTGCGAATTTCCTTTGTGTTGAACAAGAGAAGTTAGGTAAAAATTACTAATTCTTTAAAGGACTATTTTAAAAGGGATATTTCAAAATACACCATTGCAAATAATATCCCAGACGTAGATAATGCCACAAAAGGTATAAGAGACAAGCACAAAAACATTTAAAAAATATATAAGAATTTCTCTTACTGTGGCATTGGGGAAATATCCTGATTTGCTATAAGTAAGCATAGGTAGTTATTTCTTTCGAATACTTGTGACATAAACCAATAAATATATTTAATCACTACGGTAGCAAAAATGAAAAACAACTGTAGAAATGTGTTTGGTAAGAACAAAAGAATGAAGATAAATGAAATAATTTACTGCCTGTACTAGATTCACAATTCAGGAAAGATGGCCCAAGATGAACTGATTTAAAAAAAATCATTGATATAACTAGCTGTAACTCCATAATCTGGACTGTTTCAACTCTGCTATGTTGCTTTTCATTATTTTTCTATCACCCTTTTAATATTTGTGACAAAACAAACAGAATTGTTGACCGTATAAAATGTCTTCAATAAAAAGTTAACTAAAAGGATGATGAATTAGTTTTAGATTAACTCTGTAAATAAAACTACTGATATAAAGATCTCTGAATACTTTACCAAATCCTAATAAATTAAGTATTGCAACAGCTCTGTGATGTAGGCATTATCTCTTCACAGACAGGGAAACTTGGACATGGAGAGGTTAATTGACTTTACCAAGGTCACAGCAAAAGTGTGTTGCTAAACCTGCATCTCTCAGCTCTGAGTCTTATGCCATTAGCACAAGACCATTCTTCCTCCTGTCTTACTGGATCTCCAGCTCTTTTATTGGGCTTATGCGTTTTTCAGATCCAAAGTGTTAGTAGAAACTATATTATTATAGGTCCATTATTATAATCCAAAGTACTGTTGTAGTTGGTATCAAATGAGAATTTAAGACCCAACATATTGTTCCTTTGTCAGTCCCAGAGGCAGTAGAATGACTAAAGTGCTTGAGTCAGATGTCCTTATTGGACTGATATTGGCTTTGTAAGATATTGCTATTAAAAACTTCTTCCAAAGTTTTCATTTTAAAGAACTATATTTGCTATGCTTTTGTGCTAGTGATCCTCTTCCTGAAGTAAGAACTATTAGTCAGTTTTGTATCACTTTGTTTTTTGCTCGAATTGCTTATGAATAAGTATACCTTAGCAATTGCCAAAAACACTAGAAATCTTGACAGGCAATATAAATAGTTACTCTTGGCTGGCAAGTATGCAAAGTCCATGTGAGGTTTAGAAAGTTAGGCTTACATACCTTGAAAATACTCGTTTCTTTTTCTAAAATAAGACGTCTGCTATAGAGTTGTGCCGGCAATAAACACATGAGTAGTTTTAAACAATTTCAAACAGAGTTCACAAAGTAGAAGAGATTTATTTCCTTACATGTAATGAAAAGCTTTTTTTGTTTTGTTTTTGTTTTGTTTTTAATTTAGGTGGCACATTTGGAGCGAACAGGGCATTACTTAACAGTGAAGGACAACCAGGTGGTGCAGTTACATCCTTCCACAGTTCTTGATCACAAACCTGAATGGGTGCTTTATAATGAATTTGTCCTTACAACAAAGAACTACATCCGCACATGTACAGATATTAAGCCGGAATGGTGAGCAAAAACACTTGAACATTTTCTCTTTTCTAAGAATCTTTTAATCTGATGGTGTTTTCTCAGAATTACCTAAAGCTAGTACTTTTTTTCACTACTGTCTATTATAAAACTTTTTTTCCTATCAAATGTTTTGATGGAATAGATGGATTTGTGCACTTACAGGTGACTTGAGCTCCCTTGATCTGTACATATAGCTCCCATACATTAGTGGGGGCTATATATGTGAACAAGGGGTTTTGGCTTCTGTTTCAGATGTTTATATTTGTTAGTAATGAGGAGTCCTGGGATTTGTTTTGAGGACTGAGCAGGAAGGATTTAACATTATGTCACAGACTTCGGGTGAAATCCTGGCCTCATTCAAGTCAATGGCAAAACTCCAATTGTCATCATTCAGCTAGGATTTTTCCCTTGGTGCAAGAACTGTAGTTTCCAGGAGCTAACTTTCTGGTGATAGATGCATGATTGCGCAGGCAGGCTGTGCTACATACTTTGCGTCTTGATATAGGTTGTCACTTGTTTCTCTGTGTGTTGTACATATGACTTGATGGTTCTTGGAATCTTAAGTTGTAGAATACAATACTTTTTGGAATTACCTGGTTATGAAGTAATCAAAAACGTTGCAGTATATCATAAAATGTTTACAACTTCAGTATTATGATTCAATTCAGAATGCTTTTTTGGATTATTTGAATATTAGTGTTTCGCACTTGGGTCAATCAGAACTTAATTTTTCTATTTAAAGGCTCAAAAGCTTGTCTCTCTCACCAACAGAAGTTGGTCCAATAAAAAAATATTACCTCACCCACCTTGTATCACTAAAAATTAGGTATCTTATTCCTTCTTAAGAATTACTGGGAAATTTTGATCTTTGAAATGGCCACAGCCTTGACTAGTGTGAACATGTTTCATAACTTTTGTACTGCTTAAATAAGCATTTAAACTCTGGATATTTTTGTATGTAAAGCCACTTTTCTTTTTGAAAATTCAAAACTGCCTTTGTAATGCTGGACCTAGGAGTCATAAGATGGATCTGCACATTTCTAGACAGTACTAAAGAGATGGATAATGTTTAATTATTTTACATAGCTGCTAATTAGGCAAAATGGCTACAGGCTCTATAATGTTAAAACTTGTATATTAGTGACAATTTTTTTCTCTTTTTGGCAGGTTGGTGAAAATTGCCCCTCAATATTATGACATGAGCAATTTCCCACAGTGTGAAGCAAAGAGACAGTTGGATCGCATCATTGCCAAACTTCAGTCCAAGGAATACTCACAGTACTGAATTTATGCTTTGAACTGAAGTTATTCAGAGGACAACTTTAAAAGATGAATGAACTCAGAGTTCAAGTTGTGCTCTTCACTTTGGTTCAGTAATGGCCTTTATTTGAAAGCTTTTAAATTTTTTTTCTTTACAGTAAATATTCCATTCTGATTTCATAAATTAAACATTTATGCCTCCCTTTTGTGTTGACACTGTAGCCCATACTGGAAAAGCTGATCAATGTTTTGCAGTTTATTGAAAGTAGTTCTATATATAACAATGTTATAAGCATTTCTTTAGAAATGGTTGAAAATGCTTCTAAAATGTGATTATCGACCATGGTATGCATGATCGTTGTAATTGTTGACATTCCTTTTAGAAGTTGTGAAATGTTACAACTTGTGCTTATGTAGACACAATCTTCAGCTTCAGTACAGAGGTACTGACTTCAATAAAGTCTATTTATACTAATTTTGTGCCACAGTACTTCAGTATTTTTATTGGTTTTGATCAAAAAATTTGAAGAATCATTCAGTCTCCAATTTTCAGTTAAACTGCTTATTTTGTTGACATCACTTTAGTCTACGGTTTTCAGCGTGTTACAATTATCTTTGTATCACACTTAGTACGGATAGTGATAAGTGAGATATTATATAGTGTCTAACATGAGTTCCCATGCCTAATTCTTTAAATGGTTTAGTGATTTGTTTTAAATGGAAATTCCATGTAATCTTGTTGCAGTTTTGACAGAGCAGTTCCTCTGAACACATTCGTACAGACTAACTTGGTCAGAATTGTAATAATGAGAATGCATCTTGTTAGAGTCTTTATGGCCAGCTGGAAGTTACCCTATTAGGTGGTGGTCAGATAAGGATGATACTACAGTAACTTCTCACTTAACGTTGTAGTTATGTTCCTGAAAAATGCGACTTTAAGCGAAACGATGTTAAGCAAATCCAATTTCCCCATAAGAATTAATGTAAATGGGGAGGGGGAGAGGTTAGGTTCCAGGGAATTTTTTTCACCAGACAAAAAATCTATGTATTATATAGATATACACATAGTATACATTTTAAACAAACAATTTAATACTGTTCACAGCTATGATGATTGTGAAGCTTGGTTGAGGTGGTGAAGTTAGAGGGTGGAAGGAGGGTGGGATATTTCCCAGGGAATGCCTTGCTGCCAAATGATGAACTAGCACTCTGCTGAGCCCTGAAAGGTTAACACAGTTGTTAATGTAGCCTCTCACACAAGGCAGCAGGAATGGAGGGGAGGGGAGATAGCATAGCAGACAGAGACAGACACAGACCTTGTGTGTGGGAGAGAGAGAGAAATGCACACTGCCCCTTTTAAATAAGCTGACCCACTCTTAACTGCTTTGTCTTGGATCAGGAAGTTCAGACAGCAGCTGCTGCCCCAGACTCTCTCTGTCTGTCTCTCTCTGTGTCCCCACCCTGCTCTATATGGAGAAGAAGGCGTAAGTGGGGTGTAGGGGGAGGGGGACACCCTGACATTAGCGCCCCCCCCCCCACATCAAGCAGGAGGCTCGGGGAGCAGCTCCAAGGCAGAGGGCAGGAGCAGCACATGGCAGTGGGGGGAGGGATAGCTCCAATTGCTAGCCTGCTGGGCGGCTGCAGCACAGGAAACTTAAGGGAGCGGGGAGCTGCCGGTCCACCCTGGTTCCAAGCCCCCACCAGCTAGCTGCAACAGGCTGCTCTTCCTGCAAGCAGTGGACAAAGCAGGCGGCTGCCAAACGACATTAGAAGGGAGCATTGCACAACTTTAAACGAGCATGTTCCCTAATTTGATCAGCAACGTAACAACGAAACAATGTTAACCGGGACAACTTTAAGTGAGGAGTTACTGTACATTGTTAAAATGCAATAATTCTTATGAGGTTGGATTCAGTAGCATGAGTGAGCTATATGACTGACAAACACTTCAGACATAATAAGTCTTATAGTGATATTAGTGAAATAAGACTTGACAGCTTTTTCATAAGAGGAAAGTTGGAACTTGTTGATCCCAGGTGTAATTGAAGTGGTTCGGTATGATTTAAGTTTTCCCTACCCTGAAACACACATTAGATTAACAGTCCTTCTGGCAAAAGAAGGTAGGAGCAACTCTCCTCAGTCTCAGTGCTGTAGCTGAATTGCTTATAATAGTCATTAATATGCTAGATGCTTTTCATTTTTTCTGCACTCTAGGGCGAAGTTTTAAGTCCTTCTGGCCCTGAGAATGGAGAACTAAGTTAGTGTTCCTTGCTGGAGATACTACTCAGACTGTCTGACCCAAGGACAATGGAGCTTGAGTACTAACATTTAGGATGCTTTGTGTAAGTTATAGCACATGGCTAAAAAATACATGGAATAAAGTTTATCTGGTTTCCCTCCCTCTTTCCAATTACAAACCTTGAGTCCTTTTCTAAAATGTTATTGGCGGGGAAGGGGGAGATTGTGAGATGGCGGGAAAATATCCCTTAACTGTTGCTTAATGGAAACTCTTAGCATTGTGATGGATAATGATGCTATAACATTGTCTAAAAGTTAAATAATTCTTGTGTGTGGATTCAGCATAAGTAGCATGATAAAGTACCAGGTATTCTGTGAAATCTTCCCATTCCCTTTAGTGGACTTTACTGCCCCCTGTCAGGATTTCTGGTAAGAGCATAGAAAATTCAGGTTGTAGGAGGGGCAGAGGCAGACTGTTTAAAAAGTAAATGTAAGATAAATTGAAATGCTTTAAAACAAAATTAAGATTGCAAATTGGAAGATTAAATATGTACTTAAAATTTAGACATTATAAAACAAAATGCTTACTTTATTTTCTCCACTTATTCACTAACTGGAGTTCTACCCTCCACAAAACAAATTCTGCTCTAAAATAACTTTACAAATCTACTATGCGATTCCATTTTGTCTTGCTAATTTCCATATCACACTTACTCAGTGCTCAGTTTGCACGGAAACCGATACCGGGGTCACATTCTCTGCCACTGTTCCAACTAGGTGTACAATTCAGTGTAAAGTGGCTGAAGTCTGGCTCTACCTGGCCAGCTGAGAATTCCCCTAGCATGGGTGGGGAAGCGCTCAGCTAGCTGCTATAAAGGCAGCTCCTATACCAGCTAGCTCTCCCTTGATGTGGCAATATCTCAGTATTCTGCCAATTCTCAGTTAGCATATGGTCCCATAGTCAGTTGGCATAAGCTATGGAAGCTTAGGTGCTGCTCTAACTTTAGGGCTGGGATAGCTTGAGAATTGGGAGAGCAGCTGGTTATGGCTTCAAGTAGTTATTGATATGAGAGAATGTGGCCTGTTTTTTCTAACTGCCAGCCCCACAAACTCAGCTTCGGACATGACAGTCAAGCTGGAATCTTTCAGTCACATGCATCATGACTACTGGGGATAAAAATGCTGGCCAAATTATGTATTCAGTGACAGCTGTGCAGCTCTGTAATCTTCCAGTTAAGTTACTGACACCTGTGAAAATCACCTCAAGAAAATAGTGACACCTGTGCAACCCTATCTTCTTGAGGTGTCATTGAGTTACCTGGAAGACTACAGGGTTGCACAGCTGTCACCGAGTACATAATTTGGCCTGTAGTATCTCCACTACTAATAGTGATGATGTACAAGATGGAAAGACAGTCAAGGGCTAGCAGTTGGTTTAAAAAAAACAAAAACGCATTTTCTAACTTGGAAATAGAACAGTCTTGTTATGGAAATCAGTGCCACACCTGATGCATAATGCCACTGATGCACTTTTTTAGAACTTGAGAACATTTTTAAAAACTCAAATGGAATTTTTCAATTCAAAACCAACTTTTTATCAACGGTTTTACACGTATGTGTACATTGTCAACAGAAACATTCAATAATGCTGAATTTTATGTTCAGCTAATTTATTCTCTACATTTAAAAAAGCTCACATGGGTGACAGATACCAACTATGCTAATAAACCATTTTAGTACAGTTATAGTGTACTAGGTGTTACTTCTACAATTGCACAATATTTATCTTAGCTATAAATAAGAGTTGCACTGAGGCCACCTTTTTGGCCTAAACTCCGTATTTCAACGTTCTGACATGAAACTGTTGAAGCCACTATGCACAATTCTTAAATTATTGTATAATTCATACATAATTATTTAAAATACAGAAGTATATTTGTTATGTAAGAGCCATACAATAAAAGGGAGAGCAAGTTAACTAACACATGCTATTAGCACTCATCCTAATACAGGAAGTAAACTAGTCCTTGGCTTCATAAGAGAGGATTGGAAAGGAGTGAAAGAGGCATATTTACTGGTTGTAATGGTTAGAGAAAGAGAATGTTCAGTTTCTGACAGGCCACTGCAACAGCAATAATGAAACAATCTTTTTTTGAATGAAGTGCTTTAAGACACAACTAAGATAAATCCGTAATTATGCTTAATGCTTTTTGTACATATATTTCAAAATCTTCACCGTTCCCATTTTGCTAGTAGAAAAACTGAGGGGTAATAAGGATAAGAGACTTCCTCGGGTCACACAGCAAGTCAGTGACAGAGCTAGGGAATCATGTTTGTTTAGTAGTACTTATATTTTAACTATTAGCATGCAAGGCTCATTGTCTGGCACTCAGGGAATGTTATTAAAATAGCATTACCCTGTTTATCACTATAACTTTTAGTTATTTATAACTGAGAAGGCAGCAAACTGAAAGAAAATATTAAATCAGGTATTAATATATGGCCAAACAATGGAAAATGAGTAACTTCTTACAATTGAACAAAATACTTTCGGCATTTTGGGATGCCAGAGGCCATAACTGACTAAAATAATTCAGAGGTTTTTATGCTGTGTAACATTCTATTCACATTAAATAACACCACTATTCTTCTTAGGAGGCTAGACAGATCTCCTTTTTCAGCCAGTCGGTTCTGCTCCTTGATAAGCTGAAAATATCACTTCTGAGAAAATGAAATGCTCTGCAGAATTCTGCTGGTTCACGGAACAAGAGTTTCTGAATAAAGTAATGCTACTGAGCGCTAGTTTGCACCTGGCCAGACTCAGCTGCTTGTTGTTGGGTTGTTTTCCTTCTGCTGTGTTCTCAACCTTCATAATTTCTTGTAAATTGGTGGATATGTCCTAAACCGCAGCTAGTGTGTTTTTAGAATACTCAGAATACAGAAGAGTTATATCAGTTAGGATTAGTTGGTTTAGCTTTTGAAAAATTACAGTAGCCGAGTTCTTAATATGAGACTTAAGCAGTTCCCTTGGAACAATTGAAGGGAAAGATGTGCTCTATTGACTTGTAGAGTGGTTGGTTGTGGGAGGGGAGTTCAGTTGCTTTGTCTGCTTTGGATTGTAAGATGTTTGTTTTATAATATGTATTAGATAAGGAAATAGTAGTATTAGAGAGTAAATCAAAGGAATGCATTTTTTGGATGAGAAGGCGAGCCTCCCACTTTATAATAGTGCTTCTACTTAATTCCTCAAAGCAGCTAGGGCTAATGTGGATCTGTAACAAGTGTGTGTAACTCTGTGTGGATGACAAAACTAACTTGTGATTGGATGCATAAAACTGCATTTAGAGAGATACCTGCTAATTTGTCATACAGAAGTAACTAGTCATACTTGCTTTTCCAATTTCTCTGTACCTTTATAGCATTTGTTAATTTTTCAGTGTAATAGAATAAATTAAAGCCAATTCACACTTGTAAACCTGAATGTAAAAGTCTGAGTTTTTACTTATTAAATTTGTCTGCACATATAAATAACAGAGATTTGCAGAAATTATGCACCTGAATGTGTTTCTGGTAGCATGATGGTGAATAATTTTCTTTAAGTTCAAATTCTTTTGGCATGGGGCAGTTGTTTGCTGTAGATGTGGTATTTATTATTGATCATTTTCACATC